AGCTTCATCGAAAGGATCTCGAACATGTGGCACGCGTTCATGAGAGAGCTGTACTCGATACAAACTCGCGGGGCAATGTAGAACAATGTTGAGGCTAGGACGTTCTCCTGCAAGATCCAGACACGTCGCCAGTATGGGAGTAGGGCTAGATCATCAAGCGATGCCCAGAACCTGTCACATTCGGGTTCTTTTGTAAGACCACAAGATCTTAGCCACTCCAGATCCATCAGCTTATCAACATCCCACTTTGCTGTCCTGAAGGCTTTGTTTAAGACCATGATGGTTGTGACAGCTCTCAAGATTTTATCGCTCTCATCAGCACCTAGCCATCCGAGGACAAGATCAGCTGATGAGTAGATGTCGCGCATGAGCTTGACTTGCTCAGTCCGTTCTGCAGCGTCGGCTTGGTTGATACAAACAGCGTCGACCCAGATTCTGAACTTGGATTGATCCCTGTCGGGGAATTCGTATTTCCAATAGCCTCGAACTTCTTTCAAGGCTAGGGCGAGACTTTTTGAAACGGGGACTTCAACGCCGTCGATGTTGATATTGATCCTGTCAGCTGCGCTCCCCCATACATAGGATAGCGCTGCAAATTGTAGTTGTTTGCTAAAGGTGACCGTGTGCAATTTACAGGAGACGACATCTTTGTCCTCAACTATCTCCAGTAATCTTATCTCGGGTTTTGAGGTGTCGAGCGGGGTTTGATACAGGTCTTGAGTGGACATGTTGGCGAGGATGAAACGAGGGTCGAGAAGCACTGGATAAAGGGAATTGCATTGAAGTACTTTACACTTTACAGTGAGTTGATGCCTGTTAGATTAATTGAGCGACATGCGAAGAAATCATGGACCGAAGGAGCCTTGCTGGAAAGTTTGAAGGTCAAAATACAATGGGCTGTGATGAGGCTGTGAAAACGCCCGACGAAATGCCTTCTGGCGCTTAGCACTATTGGGTGTGCACCACAACCAATGAAATGACCTTGGAATATTTGGGGCTGCAAGACGGTCAATCGGAAGCCAGTTTCTGAAACATCCATCCGGAAATTATTTATTGAGAAAAGATCGCACATGGGTGCGCCAAAATGAGTAGAGTCAATTTCGCCTTGCAGGGTATCCTTTTTCCACTTTTCCAAACAAAACAAGACATTCTAGGAGCTATGAAAGTCGGGCAAAGCGCTGAACAACGAATAATCATAACAAACAGGATCCAGAAACAGAGGATCAAACCTTGGTAATCCCGAATCTGCGTTCCCTCGCGCCGGCGACACTAAAGTCAGATCTCCTCCCTGGTCAGATGCTGTAGGCATCGAAGAAGATGAGTTGGGTATTGTCTGCGATAAAGGCAGTGCATTCATCCTATCCATGGCGTCGGCGATAAGTTCTGAAGCGCAGCAGCGAAGACGGTCGTATTCTGCTTCTGCCATGCGCCACATGCGCCGGGCGCTCTTGAGACATCCGAGTACGAGTGTGACGCGGTTGTAGTGGTGCTCAAAGCATTCGTCGGGATGGCCTTGAGATGTTGCTATTTGAATGAAGCCGCATAGTGCCAGCGCTGGGATGACGAATGGTGTATGTTTTGGGACATTGGGGCAGAGCGATATGCAATCTGATATCCTTCTTGAAGCGTCGGTTGCTTTTATACCTTGGATAAGACTTGTTGAAGATGAAAGAGGATGGTTCTGGCCAAAAGGTAGGAAGGGATCCTTGATGTCTGCTAGTAGAGGGTATAAGTTGCTGCGCGGGAGGTGTAATAGCATGCTGGCTAAGGCGATGATCATATGTGCCTGGAACATCATCTCATCGATGTTACCATATGAGTCAACGATCTCCAACTTTCCGGAAGGTAGGTGGTTCGACCAGCTCAGAAGAGCATTTTCGATGGACTGCGTATGATCGTGGCTGGTGTTCTTCAACTGATTCAATAATAAGACACGCCCTAGAATCGTCGCAGCTTCAATGCGATAGCTAAATGAGGAGAAAGCAACGTCGCCAGTCGAGAGCACCCGCCTCTTGAACTCAAGAACATGGTGTGATGGGGGAATGTCTAAGCGGCCATTGTAGAAGGCCTCCTCGCATGGCAAAAGAACCTTGGGCGGCGTACTACTGCATCGGAGGATCATGGTCTTGGGAGGTATAGCCATGGAGATATCGGTAACATAAATCTCCCACCAAGTTCTCCTCAAACTCTCGGCCTCAATAGGATTGTCGAGTTGTCTCGACGATGCAAAGTCTTCGAGATGCATGCCCAAGTCCATGGCCATTTGTGTGCATTGGCCGAACGTTCTGTTGGCGGTATCGAGATCGCGACTGAAAAACAGGAGAATAGAGTAGATCAAAAGCGATTGGACCATGTAAGTTGAGGTTTCGATGGCGGACATCATATCAGTCGCCACTTCAGCGCGTAATTGCGCGTCAGGCCCAGATGAAGCATAATGAGAACCTGCAAACTCAACCATGCGTCGCAAATACGGGGGATAATTCCGCGATGTGAACACCGAGCTTGGCACGAGGAATGGATGAGCATTGTGAAAGTTCTCATAGTACAGTCGGAGGAGACGGTCTCCATCTGAACATGGCTGCACGGGAGTGTTGAGAGTTCCCAAGCTATTGCTGCCAAAGGTTTGTGTGATGATGTTAGGGTCAAGGTGGGTTAGATATGACATGACATTATCGTTCTGAGGTTGAGGTTGTTGAGCAGGGGTTTGATCGTCGCTAATCCGTCGTTGGGTCTGTACATTTTCGTCCCGGGGAGATTGTCGGGTGTGTCGGGTGACACTTCCAACCAAGTCATTGCTCGTAGCTGTACTCTGGCTTATTCCAGAAGACGGCAATTCCTGGGAAGACGACGTTGGAGTGATGGGCAAACTGATAGGATTCACAGTTACGCAATCCACATATGAAGATTGCTGATCGCCTTGAGAAGCTTGCATCACGGGCTGTCTACTCCTCTGCTGAAGTTCCTCAGCTGGCGAACGATGCTTCTTGCGACGTCCACCACGTCGCGATGGTTCGTAGTAGCATACTTGCTCCGTCTCCTTGCAACGCGAACACGAGGGCTTCCCCGCATCGCACTTGAGATGCTGCTTTCTGCAGACGACGCAAGCGAGACTTGCTATACCGGTTGATTTGACTGATCCGTTTGCTGAGGCTGTCATGATGATCTGCGGTCGGTGAGTCGGTAAGGATGGAATATCAGAAGGAGGTGGATTCGGGTGAGTCGGCGATTGAAAGATATGCAGGGTTTGATCAGGACAGATTGCGCAACCACGGCGTGAGCCTCAGGGAGGATCGTTAGATTACCCCAAGCATATGATCCTATCTTCAGCGGTCAGGACGAGATTGGATAGTGAAATGAATGAATGAACGAATGTATATGTATCATGCTATCTCAACGGTAGAAGCAAACACGAAGTTGAGGAATGTTGAGTGGAGACAGGATGATTTGGCTCGTGTTTGTGAATGGTCAATGCTTTGATAAGCTGATATCAGGCCACGTCTTGGCCAGTCGATAGCAGCCGATAAGCCGAAGCTATCCACAGGATCTACAATCTCAAAGCCGAGAATCCCATTGTTCATTGTTCTCTTTCCCATTCAACTCATCATTCTGCATTGTTCTCATAGACAAGTCAAATTGAACAGAGTTCTGACCTCTTGAATATTGCATTTGTAACGAACATAGGACATTCGTTTTGTTGCTTCTCAAGGTGGCTTAGCTCAACGGGCAACCCTAATGTTTCTATTTTGGTGCAAGGTCTTCAATCGCCGAACAAGATCCAGGCGGGGATTTCTGTTATCTAAACTCTTGACTGCGGACCAATCACGGCAGTGCTTGAATCCCCGAAGGTACTTGTAAATAATGAACATTGGATTGACGGCTCGGCGATTGAAGATGCGGCTCTATTATAGATAGCACCTTGATAGCAGTGTCCAAACCGGACTGTAATTAAACAATTCACAACAAACAAGTACACCTCTGCACCTCAAGACCCAGCATTATTATCTGATCTACTCATTTCACACGAAACATCAGAATTCCATCACGATGGCTGCAGTATCAACAAGATTCGCTCCTCTGCCACTTACACCGTGCCAATCATCTCACCAAGCCTTTACTTCTTACACAGACTTTGAAGAGCCCGAAACTTACTCGCTCGACGACTTTGTCCGGGACGTGAAAGCACATCTGGGTGAGGAGGGTGGTATTGGCTGTGACGACATCGACGAGGACTACCTCATTTCCTTAGCCAAGAAATACACATCAAACCCTAACGACTGGGCACGCTATTATCACAACTGCCCAGACAAGAACTACACACGTAATGCGATTGTGAACATAAACCACAAGGCTAATATCGTGAGTATTTTCAATCCATAATTCTCCACAAGGCTAACTTCTCTCAAGCTCCTGTTAGTCTGGAACCCAGGCAAGGGGTCACCTATTCACGATCACGCCAATGCCCACTGCATCCTCAAAGTGCTGGCAGGCGAGTTGACAGAAACTATCTACAACATGCCCGAGAAGGGTTGCGAAGAGCGTCCTCTGTCAATCAAGAGTGCCAATACATACCAAGCCGATCAAGTCACATACATCTCGGACGACATTGGTCTTCACCGAGTGCATAACCCTCACCCTACCCAAGTGGCCGTCTCTTTGCACAGTCAGTTCCCAAGCCTCTACAACTTAACATTGAGTTTCTTACTGACATGTATTAGTATATACTCCACCAAATGCTGCTGATATCGGTTATAATGTCTTCGACGAGTCAACGGGTCGTGCAAGCTTTATAACAAAAGCCGAAGCTCGTTAAGAAAATATCTGCAAAGTTGGAGATAGTCCTTACATACATTGATACCCTACCATAAAAGATTTAGAGAATAGATATTGATTCAATTTCACGATCGTAAAATTTTATGTGAAGAATAACACTGATCGTTCTTGTCCTAACAAAATTTGAGATCGGCCCCCGGCAAAACAGGTGCATGTGACAGGTCTTTCCCTCACATGGGTACACCGTTAAGAGTAATCTTAAAGAGAAGAGAGTTCTTTATCTCATCAGCGCGAGCCTTTAGCTCATCGACATCCCAGTTCGCCCAAACAAACTTGCCCTTCAGAAACTCCGCCTCTGGTGACGCCAGCCAAACATAGAACTGAGCCGCAAGCGCAGCTACATCATCAATCAGCTAGTGATACACAAACATTCAAGGTGACTTACGATCATCATGTCCAACAACGTCAAACCTCTCATTCAGCTCAGTGCGAATGACGCCGGGCTGAATCTGGACAACGTGCCAGTCGGGATTGTCGTCCTGCAGATACTCGAACATCTTCCAGACGGCGGCTTTGACGGCAGTGTACGCCCAACCTTGAGCGATCGGCCTCAGATGCACCAATCCGGTGGATGTATTGAAGATGTAGGCATTGCTGGTCAGGAATGGTCCGAAGGACTGGAGGGTGTTGAAGGCGCCGATGATGTTGAGTTCAATGCCCTGACGAAAGTCCGCTTCATCGAAACCGACGACAGCTCCTACATTAGGAGAAACGCCGGCGTTGCTGATCAGAATATCAATGTTGGCGTCATTCGCCTTCTTGACTAGGTTTGCAACCGCAGCATCCAATTTCCTGCGCTGGCTGATGTCGACGGCTTCGAAAATGACATTTGTTTTGCCCCCACTGGCCTCTGAGATCTCGGCTGCAGCTCTTTCAAGTCTATCGGGACGTCTCCCGAGAATAGCAATGGTTGATGCTCTAGCTTGTGCAAAAGCGATAGCAATTGATCTGCCAATACCTGTCCCGCCACCAGTGATGGCGACAAATTTACCGGCTGCACTGAGCTCTGGGCGAGTTGGGTCAATGGAGGGGTATGGCTTGTTATGGTAGGTTTTGGTGAAAGAGATAAAATTATCCATGGTTGCTCTTGAAGAATGTTGCTTGCACTGAGTCTATTCGAAGTAGTTGTGACGATACTCAATGGAATGGTAACTCGGGGATTTTGTAGGAATGCCAGTTCAGGCTGGAGTTTTTTTCTTTGCCATGGATTGCTCACTAGAGCGCCGGTTGAATCATCCAGCCCCCTCCATGGAAGTCATTACATATCAGCTCTATTATGACCGAGGCAAAAGATGATCAGAAGTGAAACTTCCATGGAAGCCGAAAATGGCATAGTCGCGGAAAGAATGGAGTCGTTGGAGAGCTAATCCTTAGAAATATGCGGTTTGTCAGCCAACTCCGCTTCCGCGGAAGCGGCTGAACCACTATAACCTCCCTCCATGGAAGCATTGTCATCACTTTAAACCTTTCGCAGCTAATGCTCGCTACCAAAAGCTCAATATGCAACCGATCAACCGACCAAGAAAAGTAATACTCATCCGTATATACAGACGACTTGCTAATTGGCGATCAGGCGTGCGACCTCTGTTATACACGAAAGATCAAGTGTGATGGACTGCAGCCCAAATGCTCAAATTGTGTCAATTACAAGACCAATTGTACACATACTGCTCGTAGCAGGAAGTGGAAGCCTAAAGCTCTGCAAGATGATGAACCTCAGAAAGAGGATGAGATCCGGAGCCTCCAAGCCCAGATGCAAGAGCTACAACAGCAACTGGTAGTATACTGTAGAATTTTGCGGCGAACACAGGCTGATGTTAAACTGCAGGCCCAGTACAAACAAGCAATAGACAGCGCATCTGTTGTGCCCGCAGCGGCGCCCCAAGCAGACTTCCAAGATGACCTCGCTCAAGTCAGAAAGATACGCCACTCTCTTAAACTGCCGCCCCTACAGCAGACGATGCACATGATTGGCGTCTATCTAAATACTGTTAACTCGTTATTGCCCCTCTTTCATTCCGACACTCTTCTACGACTCGTTGGAGAGACGTATGCTCTCGAACCGAAGCAGCGCGACCCCGTCGTCTGGGCCGCGATCAATGTCGTGCTAGCCTTGGCACTGCAGCAGATGCCCGAGAGCAATAATGTTGGGACTCCTTATGGCACTACAGAAAGCTATCTGAGCCACGCCCAATCGGTTCTGTGGGCCATAACGCTCAGCCAGACTCAGCTCATCAACATTCAGACACTGATTGGAATGGCTATGCTGCTGCAAACTGGACACGACTCTACGCCGGCCTTGGTCTTGATCTCAACAGCGATGCGTCTCATACACAAGATCGGTCTACATAACCGTGCATATTCTGCACATCTCGATCCCGTTGAAAGACAACAACATGCTCGCGTCTTCTGGCTGGCATACATCGTTGATAAGGATCTCAGTCTCCGCGCCCAGCAGCCGTCTATCCAAAACGACGAGGACATCGATCGTGACTTCCCGATGTCATTCAGCACTGTTACCAGCGGTGACTCTAAAGCTGGTATAGTCACGACCGTTGACGGTAGCACCACCATGGACTATTTCCTCGCTCGAGTCCAGCTTGCTAGTATCCAGGGTGACATCTACGACCACCTCTATTCAACTCGCGCCTGGAAACGGACACCCGAAGAACGAAGGTTGAAAAGAGAGAATATCGTGCTCGCACTGAACAATTGGAAAGCATCAGTGCCATCAGACTTCGGCGCTGCGGATGTCATTACAACTACGAGTAACAACCCCTCAGTTGCTGCTTTCTTCTGTATCCTCCATACAAATAGTCTTCTATCGTTGATGTTAATCACGAGGGCACATGCTTGGGATGAGCAATGGGTCGGTGTTCTGCGTGATCATGGCAGAGGATTGGGCACATCACAACTACCAAGCGATTGGAACTCAATGGTAGGGCAGGCGCGAGACTTCATGATCTTATTCGAGTACGTTGTGCCTAGATATTGCTGGTTAAAATGGTAAGACTTCCCACCCACCCGATGACACCTGGACAGCACTGATATGAATAGGGTCTCGACTTGTACCTACATTTCTTCAATGGTGCTTCTGACTGCCAATAACCTACATGACCTCCAGCACGCGGACTTTGAGCGGGATAGCAACCTTATTGAGAAAGCTCTCGCATGGTTCGGAGAAATGGCTAAAGAGTTGCCGTCGCGAAAGACAGAAGTACTAGAAAACATCTGCGTCGAAGCAGTTGAAGCGATGAAGACTCGACGTGCTCATGAGATTGACGTGAAGTTTGGGGGTGATTGGCTCATTGGGTTCCTCAACAGTCTGGAGCCTTCTTGACGACGTGAAAAGAGGTAGATCAAATACTGATATTCTTCTACCTTTATATATTCCCGTGCCGACATTCCAACCGAGTTACCAAGGAACCTGCTGGAAACCGCCATTCTCATACTCCCAAAATGTCCCAGGTTCAATGTCCCCATTGGCCGACTCAAGCAACCTCACCACTGCCTCGGCCCCTTCCAAGGGATCTTTCTTGCCCCTGTAGCCGTTAAAAGCCGTCTTGCAATGTCCTGGACTCACAGCCCAGAATTTTATCTTGGGTTCATTATCACTGTGGTTCTCGGCAGCTTGCAAGTGCAACATGAGCATATTTAGACCAACTTTAGAGACGCAGTAGTCGATGTTGGCAACAGGAGGGAGCTAGCAAAGATTAGTGTTTGTACATAATGTTTTTAGGTTACGAACCTCTTTGTTGTTTGTTCTGGCCATACTGCCGCGAGCACTCGAGATCATGATGACTCTTGGCTCAGAGCTCTTTCTTAGCAGTTTACCAAAGGCGTGGGTGACAACAGCGTTGCTGGTGATAAGGTTGTTGAAGCAAGAGTTGGATGCTGCCCGGGTATCCGCCAGGTTATCTGATGATCTTCGCTCAACCTTGCCAGCGTTATTGATAAGGACTGTCATGGTCAGCTCTGTGCTTCACTCAATGCTCAGAGCACATACCATCCAATTTCCCATATTCTTGCTCCAGAGATATCACTGCTGCTTCAATAGAAGCGTCGTCCTCAATATCCAACTCAACATAGCCAAGTTTACTCTTGATTCCGCTATCAATTAGTGATTCAATCGCTTCTTTTGCTGAATCTTTTCGGCGACACCCAAGCACGATGGTAGATGAGTGGAGGCGGGTAGCGATGGCTTGCACAATGGCATAACCAATCCCGCGGTTTGCGCCAGTGACTAGGATAATTGTCATCTTTTCTGACATATAGACTCACACACAGGTAGATCTGTTCAAAATCCGGGTGCATCCAATGTTCATCGCCTTATAAGCTAAGAGGTCGGGTTTACGGAATTCGGATTTAAGGAAGTGGCTCTGCAACGCCGTCGCGACCACAGTCCAAAATGAGCTTGCTGCTGTCTCTCACACTGTGATGCTATCTATGGTGCTGCATGTTCAGGTAATTATTATTCTATTACCTACTCTTAGGGAGAAGAAAATTCAAGGCCTTGATTTCTAAGTCGTAAAAAGATTTAGGTATTCTAGCCTATGCTTAGGGATTCTTTACTAAGTTTATTCTAATACTGTCTTTTAAAGTCTTATATTTTCTTACTTCCTGTGTCCGCCATAGCGATGCAACTCTTAGGCCAGAAGAAAAATACCTATGAGTTTATTGAAATAACGTTTGATCCGCTTGAAGGTCCTGGAGCAGCAAAGTCCATGAAGACCATGGAACTCCATCTTCAAAAACTTCTTCCTCCAAATTAAAGTGGTCAATGAATTTCAAAGGGTCCTCACTGTGCTCTAGCTCAGTCGATGTAGCAGGTTCTAAGCTACATCCAGCCCTTGCAGTTGGTGCGTCCAGATTCTTCCTCAGTGTTTCGGCTTTTGTCCTCAACGCCTTCAAGACAGCTGGTTTAGCTCCAGTACAGCCAATGAAGTCAAAAGCCATCTCCTGTTCGAAGATTCTATCTAAAGCCACCCACGCGCGCTCGACGTGTGGACCTTGCGGCTTAGTGCACAAATACCACAGAACATACAATGTCACATGGTACTGCGGATGAACCTTCTTAGCCCATGAGAACTGCGCTAGAAAAGGATCATCGCCAGCTGTCCTCGCTTCCAGGATGTCCAACGCAGCGACAAGTGTTTCTTCTTTTAGTACGCCGTCATTGACTTCACTCTTCTGTAATAAGAGCCATTGTTGGTTTGTGACAAAGTCGAGCTTTCGTAGAAGATAGTTTGCGCAGTGGACTGTAAGTCGTTCGTGCGGCGTTATTGGGTTGCACTTCTCAAGCCTTGTCTGGACTCTAGTATGCACTTCTTGAAGTATTTTGTCCCTCCCTTCTTTTCTGAGCGTCGATGTTGAGGGGTTACGGGCTTTGAGACTTTCCATGGCCTTAGCTAAGTCGAAATTGATCAATGAGAAGGTCATGCTGGTCCATTCGGTCCGCTCCACTGGTAACTCCTCCATTTCAAAGAAGATGTCCGCATCATTGATATTCAAGGGTAGTTTGACATCTGATGTCAATAGCAGGTCATTGGGGTCCTCCAAACCAAAGTCTTCACCGGACCGGCTATCCCTGGTGATGATATGCCACCAAAGTCTTCGACGAAGCTCCGACTCAAAGGGTGGCAACCCAAGCTTGGTGCCATCCTTATGGAGTCCAAGAGATTGGGCTACTCGAATGATGAGACCGTTGAGGGTCCAAACAGACTTCCCTCGATTATGCACGCGAATTGCTGACTTAGTTCCAGATGATTAGGTATGAGACACAAGGATGGTGGCGGAGAATGCTCACGAGGTATATAGCTGCCGCTCGTAAACCAGTCGATGTTGGCCGATTGAAAAAGTCTCCATGAGCAAAGGCCTGTTCGATTCCCATTTTGAAACGCTGAAGGTCGGTGCTCTTATCCAGCAAGAGCGATGTCGACTCTTCAAGTGACACAGCCGCTGCAAAGTAGATGCTAAAGCAAAATGCAAGGTCATCGAACTTTGCAGCACTGGGATCATCTATAGTTGAGTAAACTCTGATTTCATCGGTAGGAATGTGTGTCAACTTCAGTCCGAGGATAATCTCGACGTTGTTCAGGTAGATATTCCAAAGCTGGATGGCAATAGCTTTGCTAGGGTGAAATGTAGAAGGATTCTGGGTATAGCAGGGAGAGGACATGATTCCCTTTGTATCAAAGGGGGAGCTTTGAAGTTCTCTTTGTTCGTACTGTGATGTTACAATCGCGGATGCAATGCTTTTGTCCTGGTAGCTGTCAGTACGGCGATTATTCTCAATAGTAGCAGAACTCACTTCACCAAGAGATCGGGTTACCATTATCTCATCAAGATATTGGCTACTCGAGCTCTTATGTATTAGCAAGTCGTTGGGTGAGTCATGCTCATCCGTAGTCGTGCTTGGTTCGAAGCTGTTACAATGCAGATTCATACGTGTAGTTGCTTCGGCAAGACTGCGCTCTAGACTTGCAATACGCCCAGCCATCTCGGCCATAATTGTTTTCTTCGTTCGTCTAACGCGCGGTCCATTCGGTGGGTAAATGCATGTTGTGCCTGAAGAAGCGCATGACGAACATGGTGTGTTCTTGTCACATCGCGTCTTCTTACTTTTGCAGGTGTTACACGAACGGATTTGTTGCTGTGCGGGCCCGGCATTAATTGAGAAAGCTTTAGAGGCCATTGATACCTAGAATCATTGGCCAAGGACTTTAGCAGAGAAATGAAGCAGCCTCCGAATGACAGAGCGCACAGAACTTATGCGCTATAGGGCGCCGGGCTTAAAAGTATGTTAAGTCCGCGTGCACCGGGGACGATCGTGTATGGAGTGACGGGCGATAGACTAATTTTAAACCCGGGCCCGGCTGAGGCATACCTAATTGGCAGATTGCCGCTAGTTCTTTCTGATCTGGCTGTCGTTTCCAGCGTCTGAGATGGCCTGAGGGTAGCCACTTAGCTGGTGTTGATTATATGGACGACCATATTCAAGGAACATGGAGAACAAGTATATAAGGATATTCCCCGCGCGAACGAGCCCGAAAAGCCAGTCTTCTAAACACAGAAACCATAGCACCTTATCTCAAACAACCTGACAACAATCAATACGGTCATCATGACAACCTCAAGCGCAGCACTTCCCAAGACCCACCGAGCACTTATCCTTCATTCCACCAGAGATCCCTATGACATCTCAGTAGTCACCCAGGATACTCCTCAGGCATGTCCCGGAAGTGCTGTGCTCCGCGTCCTGTCAGCTGGCGTCTTGACCTACGCGGACCGAGTTTACAGTGGCCATAAGCCTTACCCCTATCCAGAGCCTTTCGTCATAGGTTCTAGTGCCATCGGTCGCGTTGCCGCTGTCGGCCCAGATGCAACGTCTCTTCATCCTGGACAGTTGGTATTTTTCGACAGCTTTATCCAGGGGCGAGACAACCCCAACACCCTTATCCTCCATGGTTTGTCCAAAGGTTTTAGCACTCCAAGTCATAAGCTTATGGAGGGAGAATGGCGAGACGGCACTTATGCAGAGTACGCCAAAGTTCCTCTGGAGAATTGCTTCTCATTGGACGAGAAGCGGCTCATCGGCAACCCTGCTGAAGGGGGTCTCGGATACTCAATGGAAGATTTGGCCTATCTGTGGACCGTCTCAGTTCCATTTGGAGGACTTCAAGATATAGCTGTCAAAGCTGGCGAAAAGGTCATCATTAGCCCTGCTGCTAGAACTTTCGGAAGCGCTGCTGTTCTCGTTGCTCTGGCCATGGGGGCTCAGGTTATCGCCGTCGGTCGCAACCAGGAAACTCTGAACAAGGTGAAGGATTTGAACCCTGAGCGAATTCGAACAGTTCTGAACACCGGAAACGTCGAGAACGATGTCAAAGAGCTGACCAAGGATGGTCCGGCGGATGCTTTCTTCGACATCTCCCCTGGCAAAGCTATAAATAGCACTCACTTCAAGAGTTGTATCATGTCGCTTCGTCGCGGTGGACGGGTGAGCTTGATGGGCGCACATCACGAACTGAAACTACCCGCTATGTTCATCGTGATCAATGACATTACGGTCAAGGGGAAGTGGATGTATACGAAGGATGATATGCGCAATATGATCAAGCTGGTGGAGGCAGGGTATTTGAAGCTTGATGCAGTACAGACTGTTGGTAACTTTCCGATGGAGAAGTTTGCGGAGGCATTTGAGAGGGCATCCAAGATCAGCAGCCCTCTGTCGCATGTCCTTATCTGTCCTTGAGCTTTGGGCAAGCATTTTGTCCTAGGCATGGAAGCAAGTTAGAAACAATCATATCCCACTCACTATTTATCAATAATCCTGTTTCGAATAAATTTAGGACGCATTCTGGCTGGATGCACTGTAGAGTATATTATTTAGTCAGTGAGCTCGCGGTCGACGTAAGTGATGCTGCGTTGTCATTTACCTTAGTTGATCTTAATGAACATGTAGGGTAGATTATTTGACTGAACGTCTTATCTTATCTGATAAGAGAATCTGCAGTGGATCAGTTCTATTCTGTGACTGGTCGAACCCTTATGGTACCGGGCCAAGATCAGTCTGACGATGCCATGTCTGACTGCAAGAATGATTGGTACTGGGCGAAAAGGATTCATGGATTTCACAGGCAACGATGCGTTGCTACATCCGAGTATCCGAGACCCTTACCATATCCTGCTTACAAAAAGAAAACTGATGACACAAAGCGCCCTTAGCCGCTTAGACCGCCGAGACATCTCCCACCAGAAAATGACGACGAATTCATGCCAAGCTCCATAGACCATATCTTATTTGACGATTGCCCAGTCAGGCTCTACGCACTGCCATCGAAGGATTCTTTTTGTACATGAATACCCAGCCGCGGATCATAGGCACTTCACTTCACTACATCAGCGTCATAGAGTTTTGTGGATTCCTTCGGTGCATTCTTCGATGCAGAGACCCTCCCGCATCCGGGCGCTGCCGTTTCTAAGCCTGCACTCCAACGCTTCTTTGAGCTTGCAGAATTTAGCGCATCAGCAGCTTGCATATGATGCTACTGCCGTAGGATGAATGTTACGGGGGTACTTGGCTGCCTCTCTGCCGGTTTCACCGCAGTTTCTTTTAATTCTTTATCCATACTTTTATGCTGCATTGTCGTTGAATAGGCACGTTTATTTGACCTGGTGGCTTGGTCTACCCCTCAGCCTTTTTTCGATATGACCATTTAAATCACCAATGAAACAAGAAATAATCCGAGATTAAGCTTAAATTCTTCTGAGACTTAATTCCAGTAGAGAAAGTGGCTTCTGAGATGCCCACGCGGCCTTAATTTGTGATGCTGACAATTTGAATGCCAAGATGGCATACGTCAGCTCAGGCGTCATTGAAACTCCGTGAGTGGATAAGGTTCTCGCCTTTCGGATTTAGGAGGCGTCGCCCTTGTCAGCATCTCCGATGTCATGCTCCCCATGGCGGGGTCCGGAGCCCGGGCTTCCCGCACACAGACATTTAAGCTTAATATGAGGATGTAACTGAGACTATCAGGGTATCGTCAATAACAATAAACTCAAACATCATGAATGCCAAAGAGTTACAGAATAGAGATCACTTAGTAGATACAGTTTCAGTATAACAGAGCAATACAAGGCTGAGACAGTACCACTCAAAACAATACCACATAAACTCATATCCATGGAGATACCCGTGAAAAAAAGAACCCTCGCACAACCCGCACTCCGAAATCTGTGTAACAAAGAAAAAGAAAATCACACTACCTACCTTAATTACGAGGCCAGAGTGGCTCAGCTGCCTTGGAAGAAGCCGAACCCGCCCAGACGCACCTAGGTCTTGGCTTCGCTAACTGGCCAAGAGAACGCGTACAGTCCCCGTGTCATAGATGGGGGCCATCCCGCTCTGAAACTGCTAAATCCGACGTCAGATCTTCATATATGGTTCTCCAAAATTCCACTCTGGTACGCCTGTTTCAAAGGGTCCGAGACGGTGAACATTCATGGACAGCTGATAGCTATGAGTCTCTTGACCTTTTTCTTGATCTTTTCTCAGGTCTGCTCTTTTTATTCTGTGCAAGGTATGTTATAGCTCACATAGTGATGACCAAATACTGACTCCTTCATTAAGCGTTATCTGTCGCTAGAGACACTATTGATCGATCATCAACAATTGAGAGACTGGACTTTTCCCAAAGTCCACCTACTCTCGACTCAGCATCTTCATTCCAGGTCGAATTTGAAGTACCTTATGAACGCCAACGGATCACACTGAATCTACAGCCTTCCAAAAATGTTGTATCGCGTCTCACTACCGTTCAGCACGTTAATTCCACAGACAGTCATGGTGTCGTCACTGATATTCAGAGTCAACGTCCGTTGCTATACAAGGGTGTAGCCTTTGTAAATGACATCGACAAGCAGACGCAAAGAAGAGTAGGATGGGCACGAGTAATGGTGCGATATCGCCAAGGCCGACATGTCATTGAGGGCACTTTCACAAATGACGGTACTTACCACCATATTTCGCTCGATTCGAATTACCGCCAGGCGCGACAAATTCAAGATGGGCAACTCAGAAAGAGATCTGAGCGAATGGTAGTATGGAAACAAACAAGAGACGAAAGCGACGGAGCTCTTTCGCAAAGGTCGTCCTCAGATGAGCCGACCTGTCAGGCTCACAGATACAATGATCGACGCCGTCAGACTTCCGATGGTCAGGATACCCACCATCCTCTGCTGGCCCGACAAGACGTCAACGATTGGTTTGACCCAAGAGATGTAATTGGATCTACAGAAGGATGCCCCAACTCCCGGAGAGTCGCTTTGATCGGCATCGCCGCCGACTGCTCATACACAGCAGAATTCGACAACATGCAAGATGCTCGCGATAACATCATTTCCCAAGTCAACATCGCATCGCAAGTCTACGAAGACGCCTTCAACATCGCCCTAGCCATTCAAAATTTGACCATAAGCGATCCATCTTGTCCTTCTGACGCACCACGATCAATGCCCTGGAACCTTCCCTGCACAGCAAACGTCGATATAAACGACCGCCTAAACTTATTCACCCAGTGGAGGGGCAGACTACGCGATGATAACGCTGTCTGGTCTCTTTTCAGCGCCTGTCGAAGCGGTTCAACTGTTGGAATCGCCTGGATTGGAAGTCTTTGCAATCGGTCACGAGGATCATCATGGGGTCGCGGTGGGACAGCCTCTGCGAACGTTGTTGTGCGTACTGCTTCGGAATGGCAGGTCTTTGCGCATGAGCTGGCGCATAACCTTGGAGCTTCTCACGACTGTACATCAGGTGATTGCGGGACGTCAGGATACTCGCCTTCTGATGATTGCTGTCCCCGAAGTGAGACTACCTGCGATGCTCGGAACCAGTACATCATGAATCCCCAAAGCTCTCCAGGCCTGGAGGAGTTCTCGCCATGTACTATCGGCACGATCTGCACAGGCATTGGCGAGGAGCACGTTGACACGAGTTGCCTTGTTAGTGAGGACGAGGTCCCCGATATTAACGACAGTCAATGTGGCAATGGTATCGTCGAGCCAGGCGAGTCATGCGACTGCGGTGGTGAAGACCGATGCCCTGCAGATTCCTGCTGCAACACTTCGACCTGCCAACTCCGCAGCGGCGCCGAGTGCGATCCACTCACCGATGGATGCTGCACTGATGAATGCCGAGTCGCTTCAAGTGGTCTAGTCTGCCGCGAAAGTACAGCCTCTTGCGATCCCGAAGAGACATGCGACGGAAGTTCAAGTCAATGCCCCGTTGACGTGCAGAACTGCGACGATGATGAAGACTCAGGTAGCAGAGGAGGAGAAGGATCGGGAGGAAGCTGGTTCGATAGGAACAGAACAGCTGTTATTGCGACCGCTGCTTCTGTTGGAGGAGTCATCCTAGCCTTGCTGCTTTGCGTGATATTCTCTTGTATCAGGAAGAGGAGAAGAAGACAAAAAGGAACGCAATTACAGAGTGGGAACATCAGCGATGGATCGAATGCACCAGCTCTTGAGCATACGAGAGGTGTTACCCAGATGCCGAGTGCACCGCGGTTGGTACATAGATATGCATAGTTTTGGTTTGGAGTTTATGAGATATGTTTCACGATAGATATGGCGGGCGTCAATCCTGTTAGAATATTTGCTAGTATAGGAATATGTATTATGAATTGAAGCGATGGTCTTGGTCTTGAGTCGGTTGCCGTTTAGCCATTTGACTTTCCCTTTCCGAGGTTCACAATATCCTTTACCGTTATAACGTCAACAAACTTGGGTAGAATACGCTTCATGATGAACTCATGAACCTCAGGGTCATCATCAATAATCCCATCCTCCACGCAGATAACATGAAAGTCTAGCTCGGCACCAGCCCTTGCACTGCTCAAGATGCTCCCCATGGTCGTCAAACCAACTAGTACAACGTGTCTGACCCCGCGTGCCCGTAGATAGGCCAGCAGGTCTGAGGATCTAAAACAGTTTGGCTGTAGTTTACCAAGCAAAATCTCATCTTTTCCGCCCCAGCCACCAGGAGGAACTAGCTCGGCCGGAACACCATAGTGGGGACGATGGGGATCAGAGGGCGCATTGGCGAAGGCACCGCTTGCTTCAAGCTTGGCTACCCAGCTTGCGAGCTTATTGTACGGTGACACGAACGCATTCGAGTTGATGTTGAAGGGTAGTGTATGGTGGATAATCATCGGCACATCGTCGTAGAGGGAGCGGGACTCGTTTGACTTGGCTGAGGCACGGCGAGACTTGATCTCTGAGCGAAAGAAATTGAGAAGCTTCAGGACTTTGCCAAGATAAGCGGCCTGCTCTTCCTGGGAGAAACGTCGGAGGATTTGAGATTGTACATCGGAGAGAAGAAGAGCGGTATGGTCGAGCGAGACCGGAACATAAAACGGAGACGACATGGTGGAAGATTGTTTAATCCGTAACGGATATGGTAAACAGTCTGACAGAGGCATAGATCAAGAGCTCACTTATATGCCAACCGCCTCGATACTATGCTGTGAGCCGGCCAAAACTTCGTTCGGCTTGTTGCATCTCAATTGTCCGAACTAATTGATCAACTAATTTGAAGAATTATTTCTATGGTGATGCTGCTACTATGTCAGCTTTTAGTCAGGATCCATGGCGGCATTTTGGACAGTGGCTGTATTTTCGGAAAAGAGCGAGCCGCTATTTTCGGCCTTTTCTTAACTTCGAGCGAATACTACCTGAAACATCCTCTCCTAGAATTATGATAAACATGCAAATAATGGATGAAAACAAAATAGCAAAAGTCACGATCTATACTAAATCTACAGAAATGAAAGTTTGGAGTTTCTGACCGTCCATCCCTACTTGCGCTGTGAAACCTCTGAGGTATCCAAAGGATACGCGGAAAAGAATTCTTGGAGGAGAAATTTCTACAGTGAAGTCTATATTCATGTTTCCAGTAGGTCATGGAAGCCTTAGCGGAAGAGTCCGAGACCTCGTTGTTATAAAGGTAAACATATCCATGCTACAAGGAAATCCAAAGAGTTTATAACCCCAAACGTGGGGGAAATAAGAGACTCACTGGAATTTATTGTCGGTAGACTGACTTCCTCCCATACCTTGCGATCTTCCTATGCTAGCCAGGTAATGGAAGTTGCAGATATGGGCTTTTCCTTATCGTAAACTCTACCCAACCACAGATATCTCAGATTCCGGAACAAGTCCGCTCAAATAGCATCATATATGTGTAATTACCACCAAACCTCGATCTACAGAGCTGCAGTAGCCTACAGTATCGCTACTTGAACAGCTGTTCGCCAGCGAAGTGAGTTCAACTGCAGAGCTTTCGCCTATGCACGCTCATCATACGGCGGATGATCTATTGTAGGGCCGGGCGCGCATTATGCTCGAATAAGCACACCAATGGCGATTCATTTATTAGCTATGTAGGTTGAATAGACGATCAGTAAGGACTACTGATGCAAGCTATCATTCTTGGCGCCGATCCGGAGATGAGGTCTGCTAACCTGTCCCAAGCTGCAGAAGGTCAACACGAAGTTGTTTGAGAAGTTCCCTGGTTACACTGAGTCGTACGGAAGTTATGCTAGTGTATCCAAGGGACCTCTGCGCAGTGTGATTGAGGGTGTTGGCGGCATCCTAGGAGGGCTATTTACCACTGGAAATAAGGCGTAGTCTAGTTGTTGCACTAGTCTGCACTGAGTTCTGCCGTGACAATCTACCTCTGACTGGAGAGGTGAAATTGGATGTTACTTTTAGGGTTTACGAGTTCTGTTGTACTACGGAGTAGTTTACACTGCATCAATAACCATAGCCTTATTGCCAATTTTGTACGACAACTCCTGAGACATGTGCCTTTACACAACGTACGATAGATTGCGAATAAGTCTATTAAAGACGTATAGTGGTGATCCAAGGGACAACTTCTCAGGTCATTGCGCGTGGACTCTGCAGCTCGGAAGCTTTACTCCCTTCACTTCTACAATCCCACTGTAAATCCCAACTACCGATGCGGAGTAGAATGCCCGAGCCGAGGCACTTGACTTGTTAGGGTTCAGTAGGTCCAAGGACCGAGCGCTGTAGAGCTAACACCAGTAGGCCAGCCAACAGGACTACAGGGGCAAGCCGAAGCTACTGTCGATCCCGACTCCTCCATGTCAAGATGCCGATCATCTCGTTTAGCTCGTTCATAACTCGATAACATGGAGATGAGAGGGTGTGCTGAGAGGACAGTCACATGAATCGCGGGTTCTCGCGTAATAGATCAAAGCGTGTACGACCGAGCACAAAGTTCGAAGGGAAGGTGACCCTAAATTGCGGACTGAGTTTAAATTACGTGTGTAATCTGTTGTGTCTCCTCGTAATGGGTGGAGGTCTCCCCGCAATAGGGATTGCCTAATTAACTGCAAGCTTCACCATCTTTCGGCAGTCCATTGACCAGTGTTTTCTTATCTATCAGTTAATCGCCTTCTCACTAATCGATAATGCGGTTCTCAGCACCGCTTGTAGCTTTTGGGTTGACCGGCGCTGGGCTTGCAGCACCATACAATTCGAATGGAGTGTCGCTTATTGACAGACGACAAGCTTTGAGTGGTCTCTTCAATGGCGTTAATAACGCCCTGGCTGTGACAGTCAGCGGGCTGCTCGACGACCTTGGCGACGCATTGAACAAAGGAGATAGGGAAAAGACACTTGATACGCTGCAGAAGCTGAAGGCCACAAAAAGGCCAAAGAATGTCGGCGAAGCATCATCTATCACTGAAAGGGTCGCAAAGTCAGAGCCTAACAACATCGTTGAGTACAGCGCGCGATTGATAGCAAATGGTATCGTCTCCGGATCAACAGATGATCTACTGAGCTACGCCCAAGGCCTTGGCTCAGCAGAGAATGGAAACAAGAACCAGTATGCCAATAAACTCTCCCATTCCCAGTATTTTCACTAACCTTATGTAGAAATCCCGACCCGCCAAAGAGCGTCTACCCAAAGGCAGCAAGCTGCGATGCGCCGTATTCAGTAGGCGAGGACAAGCTCAGGTCTGCCATCTTCATCCCAGACACTTTCACCTATGGTGAAAAGCTACCTGTGATTCTATTCCCTGGTACCGGAGCCACCGGATGGACCTCGTTTCGGGGTAGCTTCATCCCATTGCTTACTGGTGTGGACTGGGCTGATCCTGTATGGGTCAACGTGCCTGAACTTCTTCTTGGTGATGCGCAGGTCAATGCCGAGTACGCTGCATACGCACTCAACTATATCGCGTCGCTTTCAAAGCGAAGCGTCGCTATCATTGGTTGGTCGCAGGGTAATATCGATACTCAATGGGCATTCAAGTACTGGCCATCGACTCGCAAAGTGACGACCGATCATGTCGCCATCAGCGCGGATTACAAGGGCACTATCCTCGCCAATTTCGTTGACCTTTCAGGCACTACCAACACGCCATCTGTTGTCCAGCAAGAAGCTGGGAGCGATTTCATCAAGACTCTTCGCTCGGACGGCGGCGACTCAGGATATGTACCCACAACAAGCCTGTACTCCAGCTTCCTAGACGAGATCGTCCAGCCGCAAGAGGGGACCGGGGCTTCGGCTTACTTGCTCGACGAAAGAAACGTCGGCGTCACAAATGCCGAAGTGCAGAAAGTCTGCGCCGGAAAGCCAGGTGGCTCATTTTATACGCATGAGAGCATGCTCATAAATCCTCTCAGTTTCGCTCTGGCCAAAGACGCGCTCACTCATGATGGTCCAGGAAAGATCTCCAGGCTGGACTTGGGAACAGTCTGCGCCTCGTCTTTGGCGCCTGGACTTGGATTGGAAGATCTTTTAATCACTGAGAATGCGATTGTTATTGCGGGTATTTCTCTTGTCACGTATTTGCCCAAGGTGAAGCAAGAGCCGGCGATTAAAGAATACGCTTTGGAGGCAGCGGGGACGTGTTAGTTATTGTGGGACAGCACTGTCAACTGTCAACAATTGAGGGGTCTTGTCATCATCAGCAATAGGTATCGTGCTCTGTGTATTCTCAGCTTCTTGGGGCCATCTACGGCATCATAGTCTCCAAAACTTCACTACAATTGAGCAACTGGAATGATAAAAATACAATGCATATCTCGTCGGAACAAGTCTGTCGTCAATGTAACAAAAATTAGGTAGCTTGCCTCCACACCGGATTGAACGATGGACCTTTGCATTACAAGTGCAACGCTCTACCACTGAGCTATAGAGGCGGCTCATTTTAGTTATCAACAGCACGTTCAATCTGGCAACAAGTGCAATTTTCTGTCCGAAGCAGCATCTACATTGACTACCAACCTTTCCAAGTCCTTTTTTCATCGCTTCCACTTGATGGGCGCTTGACAAGAACTCACGAGCGACTTTTCCGGCCTCTCTCCATTGACTGCTTCGTACCAATGGCACCTCCTCCGTCAGAATGATCCACAGCTGATATGTACCTAGTCGCAGCTCCCAGTAAAGCCGCCGAATCAATGTTTAGATTAGAGACGGTTATGGAGATAATCCAGAGGGATTTCTTTGCCCATCCACTCCACGTCATATCCGTGTCCTCTAATATCCTCCAATAGCCACTCAATGGGCGTCGCATACGAGATATGATGGATTCCTCGGGTACCTCCCTGGGCACCAGACGTCAGAATTGCTGCGACACGACCATCATCTCCCATGACACTGGCCCCCGAATCTCCCTGCTTAGAGAAAGGCTTTCTCTTTTCACACTCAATAGAGCCCAGGATGCACCATTCTTCAGAAACCATCGGAACGCCTTCAACAATTCGTCGGACGACAGACCTAGCTGTATTGGTGACACCGTGGCTTACTCCGCTAGCGCTACCATACATGCATACTCGCATGAAATCCTCATCAACAACAGTTTTTCCTGGCACTGCGAAGTCAAAGTCGGGGCATCTCATTTCAGCTTCCGACATGACACCAGTCTGAGTGTATATATGAGCCCCAGGAACCATGCAAATTGTCCGCTTTCGTCCCGGATTAACATACTCCCAAAGCATAAACTGGCGCATCCTAAAGACTGGAGAAAGAGTCTCGGGTACCGTGTTTCCCAAATTCTTCACCGGCGTTTGGTGCTTCTTCTGATCCAGCTCTATCAAAGCCCAGTCGCGGAAGCGGACCGGCGAAGAACTGCTCAACCCGAACTTTGGTGAGAAGAGGACGTGGCCAACAGTTCGGGATTCCATCGATTCGAAAGGCTCAATTCGCCGGGGGCTACTCTCTTCTTCGACTTTGTCGCTACGTAGGTCTTTGATTTTTACGTGGGGTACTGGCGTAAAGGACTCACAAAGCTCGATCGCGGACTGGGTAGAACTGACTTGGTTTCGGAGGAACTCCGTCCTGTCTTTGTATGTCGTGTTCCCAGGCTGGATAATACCTCGACTGTTATTAACGTCGTGACAAAAGTCGATGTTCTCTTCCTTTGATCCTACGACGACATGTCGGCAGGTTAAAGCAACCACGGTTTCGGTATTCCGTATTCTAAGGTAAAGACCTTTGGTGCCTTCACGTGTTGGATTTCTAGAGGGGGCGATTTTAGTACCCAGGAACTCAGAGACCTGAATACTGTCCCTTCTGAACCCCTCTTCTTGGAGAGTCGGAATGTGCGGAATGAGTTTTGCTGTCGGCGGTTCACTATCTTCAGTTAGCATAAATCTTAATTTCGGGTTATGAGTCTTACCTTTCTGTTTGATCCTGATCACTGGAGCAGCACTGTGTGATTTTGGACTCCTTGATCTCGACTTCAACATCGTTGATACCGTGCTCTCGTAGAATGTCGCGGCACTTGAGGGCCACGGCTCTTCCGTCCAGCCATGTTGTCGAGTCGGGCTCTACTGATACGACAAGGATGACTGGTCGGACAAGGTGACGATCCTTGAAATCAGCGGAACCAAAACGGAGGATGTCGATAGCGTTCCAGTCAATATCCTGTACAGCTTCGAGAATCTTTCGACGCACTGGGCCTGTAGAGTCATTCCATAGTGGAACAACAGCGTGCTTTTCGACAGGGTCAAATATTCTGCCACAGTCGTCCCAGTCATTTACCGGACCGTTCCAGGGAGTCGTGGCGGATCGGGCAACGAGATTGGGACTGTCTGGAAGCCCATGATAGTAGCTGAAGAATTCCTTTCTACTCGGAGGGGTGGCGGGTAGTTCGTCCATTTTCGGTGAGGTTGTTGCTCAAAGATGTGAGGATGAATGGTGGGAAGAGAAAGGAAAGGCAGGATGGCAGAAAGAGTTATCAAGATGGTAAGAAGTGGGGACTTCAGAAAGTCAAATGTATGAACTATGGTGCGTGAACGCGTGATTGTTCTGTTATTGCCACTGGGATTTGTTTGTTCTACCGTGAGTCACTGATGTGGCATTGTTCATAGGATGTTTAGCAAAATTGGACCGCCACTGTGTGATAGACACTTATGTTTATGGCCAAAGCTCTCACAAGCACCGATCACGACCACAAAGTACAGATAATAAAATAAAGTCAATACAGTGTGGCTGCCACTGAAGTATAGTAAGTGCTTATAAGTAAACTAGGTTCTCTCTGCCGGAATAAGCTCTCAGCTATAAGTAAATAGATAAACTCAGATACTAAATAAATATTCTTAAAATAAGAGAAAGCTATTATGAAAAAGTAAGAAAAGTTTAATATAACATTTTATCTATATAATACAAAATCATATTGTCTCCTTTACTAAAGCCTTTATTATATTAGGTATAACGATATTTTAAGAGTTACTTAAGATACCTCTCGAGGAAGTTTAAATAAGAGGGAAGTATCAGTAGCGGGCAGCCCAGTACAGCTTTAGAGACAATTTACAATAGTATGGCTTTCACATTGATTGGTGCCTTTATGCAGTTATAGCAATAGAACTTTAAGTCAACAGCATCCATCATTTCAACGCCTAGGAAGATCCGGTCTTGTCGCTTGCGCTAGCAGCATTTGGAACATGAGGGCCGATTCCGCATACGAACAGTCAACGATTACAAGGATCGATAGCTCAGTGGTATGAGCGAGGGATTGCAGATCCCTAGGTCGCGTGTTCGATCCACGCTCGGTCCTAATATTTGCTTTTTGCCAAGCTTGAGCTATCAACTGGTGTTCTAAGCCTGTCTTCCCTTTTTGCCTTGAGCCCTTGTGTCGCTGGTTATTCTGTAGCTAAACTCTGTGTTGGGAACGAGAACAGTATGCCCGATCCGCTAAGAAGGTCGAGCGTAAACCGAAGACCCCAGCTTGCAAGGTAGCAAGCAAACACTGGCCAGCCACTGTAGCAGAGTCTAATGATAGTTATCATCTCTTTCTCTTAGCAATATTGTTTTCTCTCATCAATAGCCCCGATTTTGTAAAGCTCTCAGATGAGAATGGTGACTGAGATTGACTGCTAAGGTAATTGGCACGTTGGCTTCGGGATGCATCAACACAATTGAGAACCCGCTCGACAACCGACATTGGGGGGCTGGCGCAACGGTAGCGCGTTAGATTCCAGCGAAGCATCTTCAAGTTCCTCTTGAAGAGATCGTGATTCCTAAAGGTTATCAGTTCAAATCTGGTGTCCCTCATTTTTGGCCATCGACACTTTTTTTTCGCATCAGGGCGACTCCACTCAACTCCACTTGCATTTGGCGGATGGGGGCTTGGTCAGTTGTGAAGACACGCTGCGGTGTATTGTGTGTCGATTAAGGCTCCAGGTCGAAAAAGAGTCTGATAAGTCACTATGGAGATGGGATGATTGTCAGGCCAATGGTGAGGGGTAGAAATTGCTTTAGTTCATGTTCAGGGTTTCTAAGCGAATGTCTATGTACGTCTAAAAGGAATAAGGCAAGTCTAACAAAGAATTAAGGAAATATTTAAAGAATGCTTCAAGAAACCTCGACATCAATATCAGCCTTGTATGCGGAGCCTTCACTTTTCTCTTCCGTAATGATATCATGAGCAATCTTCTCGGCGAGGGCATATACAGTGCCAACAGGGTGGCCAGGAATAAGAACAGGGAAAGCAGAGGCATCGACAACTCGCAGGCCCTTGACACCATATACACGAGCCTTGGAGTCAAGAACAGCCATGTCATCATCCTTCTTGCCCATCTTGCAAGTACAAGCAGCGTGCCAAACAGTCATGAGCGTATCACGAAGGACAGCGAGGATCTGCTCATCTGACTCGTGCTCCTCGCCTGGGTACACCTCCTTGAGAACAGTGTCCTTCAGAGGAGTAGACTTGGCGATTTCTCGGAGACGGCGGAACAGAGCGACGGCAACTTCTTGATCGGCCTTCTTGGTGAGGAAGTTGGGGTTGATGAGAGGAGCGTCGGTGGTTGAGTTTGTTCGAAGAGTGATGTTGCCGCGGGACAGCGGTGCGACCAAGGCGCCGTTAAGACTGGTGTACTTCTTTCCATCGGTGGGCTGCTGCAGGATAGGGAATGACCAGTCCTCGGAGTAGACGTTAAGAGGGATGATCTCCATCTCAGGCCAGTCATCAGGGAAGGTCGCAAGATCTCTGAGTGTCTCGTTGGAGAACTTGGAGCGGTACTTCTCAGGAGCCTTCTCCCAGCCCAAGAGCTCGACCTGGTTGGATGTCAGGGGACCGGCTTGCTGCTGAGCATAGGCATCAAGAGCGCCTTGGAAAACAGTGTCGTTGTTGATAGCTGCGCTAAGAGTGTCCTCAAGACCTTGCACTTCAAATGAGGGACCGAAGAGAACATGGTCCCAGAGGTTCTGGCCAACACCAGGAAGGTCGGCAACTACAGGAATGTCAAGCTCTTCTAGGTGTTGCTTGGGTCCAACACCAGAAACCATGAGAACCTGGGGTGACTGGAAAGCTCCGCCACTGACGATGACCTCCTTCTTAGCCTTGAGTGTGTAGTCAATACCAACAGAGCTGACCTCAACACCAGTAGCCTTCTTGTTATCATCGAAGGTAACCTTCTTGGCAAGGCTCTCAGTGTACACCTTGAGAGTCTTGAGCTTCTCACTTCGGGCAGTCTTGACAAAGTCATCGGAAGCACTTCGGGTAGCGGTCTTGGGCTGAACAGTTGTTGTGGTGTATGCGTAGCCGAGAAGACTACCGCTGCTGAAACCATCGATGCCCTTGAATCCAAGGGACTTGAGACCCTTTTCTACGAGAACAGCCCAGGAGGGGACGTAGTTGGCGTAGCTGATCTGAAGAGGACCCTTCTCTTTGGAGAATGCGGAAGCGTCGTAGTCGGTTGTCACGTTGCGCTTCTCATTGTCTGGTGGTGTGAATGAGGGGCTCTTCTGGAAGTGAGGCAACATCTGTTCCCATCTGATTTATGTCAGTGAAGGTTTGTCTGAGTCTTTTCGTCGGCACTCACGTATAGCTATCGTCTCCGACATCCTCAGCCCACTTGGCCATGGTACCGTTCGTTGGTCGGTGGTACACCAGAAAGTTGAGCTGAGATGAGCCACCAAGAACCTTTCCACGGGCATAGTGAATTTCGCGATCATCAGCGCCTGTCTGGGGCGTTGTCGTGAATCTCCAATCGCGAAGCGGGTTAGAGTCCAAAAGACTTGCGCCACTGCCAGCCGTCACTCCACCCGGCGATGTCGCCAGAATAGGCTTGGAGATCTCGAGAAAAGGGCCAGCTTCGACAATAGCGACACTGTAACCAGCCTTTGCAAGTCTGTAGCCAATGGTGTTTCCCGCTGTGCCGCCTCCTACAACGACATAGTCGTATTCGGCGTCGACACCCGGAATTCCACCTAGCTCGCCAAGGTGTCCAACCTTGAGTCCATCACCAGCATAAGCCGACTTGACGATATGCTGCAAGGGGTCGAGAAGTGTACTTATGAAAGGAACCTCGGGACGAGCAGTGACACTGGTCGAAAGGCTGAGCGCCAAGAGCGAAGGTGACAAGACGTTGCAGCGCATGATGACAGACGATCTGGACGAGAAGGTTTGTGTGCAGATCTCAGAAACGAGGAGGGATTGATGCTACTCTTATATCTACTTGTACTAGGGTTCACTAGCTGCCTGTCAAAAACATCAAGCATTTACCTAGTAGCCCAATGTCATATCACCGCGGATGTTACAGCGTCCCGCAATGATTTTTGGTACCAAAGTCCGTGCTGACCCGCGGCGTTGGCGCTACTTGTCAATTAAAGTGAAGGATCTGAATAAAGTCGGAGGGTTTCTGAGTCAGCGGTGATAAGAAGACGAGATAAATGTCTCAGCTCAGGGTCCTGGGATATGCGGTGATGGACAAGGGTTATTTGTCATGTCAATGCGTAAAAGGAGGGTCGAGAGGCTGCCACGACAGGTGATGCACTGCAATGGATTCACAATAGTCAAGTATAGTCAAGAATAAAGGGTACTAATGGAGAACGGAACACGTTTTGGTCAAACTAAGCTTGTTATCCGGTCCTTTAGAGTTTCAACAAAGTGGGCGAGGAGTCCACTAGAAGCCATGCAAGCAACGTTTCTGAGCAATAACAAGGATTCAATGTTGCAGCTTCGACCTTGGCACGTCGAATTAAATTGCCTAGTCATGAGCCTTATGCAGCGGCAGAGCCCGTCTCGTTCAGCTTGCGTATAATACTCGGGGCTAAGGGCCTGGGGTCGTTCCGCGTCGTTCCACTGATCACCAGTGATTGCAAAGCACAGACTGCCGATCCCTTCCCTCAAAGAAATCACCATGCATTGTGATGAACGCAGCAGTTCACGTGCGGTAAATCATCTGTGCGTGCAGAACCGTTCATCCGGTTTTTTTCCCAAGGTTCGTTGATCTCACATTCGGAGACTTACATGTCATATGATAGAATGATAGGATCGGTCAGCACGTTGTAAAACCCCGGCTTATGCGCTGAGGATCCGGAACCGCACTACCAAATGCCGTAACGCCGATCTTCCTTGGCGGGAGGACCACTAAGCCTGAAGGGTTCGTCTTGCGAGGAGGAAATCCAGTTTTTGATGGTCTTCCGGGCTCTTCCCCGATGCCGAACCCGTCTGCCGTGTGGGTTCCTCGGGAGCCAAATGTCGGGGAACCAAAAGGTGTGCCGCCTGAGCGAGTCATGTGTATAACGGGGGCTTCTAAGACTGCATGGCCTGGACAAGCTTGACAAGATCACTTTTCACATCGGATTTTCCACGTTGGCGCTTTAGGGCGCATTTGACAGTTCGTAAGAGGTAATGACCATGATTTGATAGATAA